ACTGATTCACTTGGCAGAATGTTGTCAAGGTTTAGTCATGTCATAGTGTGTATCAGGATGTCATTTCTTTTCATGGCTGTGTAATATTCCATTGTGCGTATGCCGCACATTTTGTTTATCCTTTCCTCTGTTGACCGACATTGTTAGGTTGCTTCCTATACCTGTGTTTTTGCATACCAACTTTTGTGAACATTTTTCCATGTCAACAGATCCTTCTTTTGGAAATCCTAATGGGATACCTATGGGCAATAAGCACTCAGAATGAGGTTTACCTTCTTTTTGGTACTGTTTCAGCTTTTTGCAGTGAGGATGTACCCCCTTTAACATTACGGGCAAGAGCTGTTTTATTTTTAAATTCTTCAGCATGAGTTTTTCAATGACTCCATAGGTTTCCATTTTGAGACAATGACATAATTTACTTGACTAGCCCCTACTTTGGGGAGCTTTGGTAACAAAGTGCCTAAGGCACTTGACTGCTAACCAGAAGGCTGGCGGTTCAAACCCACCAGCCACTCCTCAGAAGAAAGATGGGGCAATCTACTTCCGTAGTGATACTGCCTCGGAAACCCAAGGAGGGGTCGCTATGAGTCGGGTCCGACTCGACGGCACATAACAACAGTCCCTACTTTGAGGGACATCGTGGTTCAGACGATTTCTCAAAGCGTGGCCCCAGAAACACCCAGGGTGCTTATCACGCCTGCTGAGGTTGGAGACCCAGCACAGGCTTTCCAGAAAGATCTCTGGCTCTGGTCACTCTGCTGAGTGACCTTGGGTGGATCACTGGGCCTCTCTGTGGCTGCCTCGTTTATTTAAGAAGATTAGTAACAGTGCTCAGCTGGTGCGTGGTGCCGGGGATGAGAGGGGTCAAGGCTGGAAGGTGAGCATAGTGCAGGCACACGCAGGCCTCGGCGGACACAGCAGCTGCGTGCCTGTTCTATTCAGTCGGCAGTGTGCCTCTGTCCTGCCAATCCAGAACTTCCAGGGAGCTCGCTCGGCCCTGTGTAGCCAGAGGCTGGGGTTGAGGACATGAGCAGACCCATTTCAAAACTGCACATTTGCTGAGTGCAGGAAGGAGAGCAGGCAGGTCCGTTTCTGGGTCTCTACCAAGCTTGGCTGCTACCCGAAAGGCAGTTCACAGCTACCCAGCAGCCCTGCAGGGGAAAGAGCTGGCAGCCTGCTTCTGTGAAGATTATAGTCAATAAAACCATATGTGCTGTGTCACTTGGGGTCACTGTGAGTTGAGATTGACTTGATGACACCTGACACCACCACTCCCATCAAGCCTTAAAGGAGCCCTGGTGGTACAGGGGTTAGTACCGGGCTGCTAACTGAAAGGTTGAACCCAGCCAGCCGTTCCAGAGGAGGACCTGGTGACCTACTCCCGTAAAGGTTGCAGCCTAAAAAATTCTGTGGGGAAGTTCCTCTGTTGCACCGGGGTTGCTCGGAGTTAAAAATGACCTACCGACACCCAAGCCCAAAACTGCAGTGTGCGTGTCTGAACTCAGGGACTGAGGCGACACATGAATGAGGTCCCCATCCAACCCAGAAACCCAGAGGCACTCTTCCTTTTGACTGGAGGCCATTTGTTTTCTTTCCCTTCCTGGGGTTTTAGGGTAGGAGTGGATCTCTAGCTGGGAGCCTGTCTGCACCGTTTTAACAGGGCCTGAGAGTGTGAGGACAAACCAAGGGAAAGGGCTTCTGGGGTCCTGTCCCCATCGACACATGAGGAGACAGAGATCCAGAGGGGCCTGCTCTGGGGCAGTAACTCAGGGTCACGCAGCTGGTTGCTGGCAGAGCTGGGAGGCACATCCAGGCAGTATGGCACGGAGTCCGTGCCCTTGACCACCAGCCCTTGCTGCCTCTGTTCCGGCCGTGACAGACTGTAGTGAGCGTCGAAATCCCTTGTTGTGCCTCCCCCTGCCTTGGTGGCTTCATCCCTGAGTTCTGATCTAGGGGGTCTGGAGAGGCCCAGGAATCTGCATTTTTAACAAGGTGATTATACTGTACCTCCTCACTGTGCCATTTGTCATTCAGGACTCGTACTGGCCCGCACTCTCACACTAAAGCTAGGAAGAGGCCCCAGGCCTACCAGGTCAGGGCACATTCCTCTACATGCAGTCATTCACCTGCACCGTGGCCTGCCTTTGTGCATGCAGGTGTCACGGCAGCTGCTCACGCACACCTGTGTCCACCCCGTGGCCTCTCTCCCACCTCTTTCTCTTTGTCTTTTTGTCTCATTTTCCAGCTGTAGTCCTCTGGACTGGGCCCTTACCTCCCAATCCCCAGGTTGGTCCTTGTTTGTTTCCTTTGCTCACTTACTTGGAGCTCTTTGTCTTCCTCCGGGAAATACCAGCCAGCTGCTGATTTGCGGTTATTGACCGTCCTGGAGAGGGGCTAAGCATGGCTGTGGGGTTAAGGCTGAGGCCTGCATCCTTAGACAGCCCACCCCACCCCAGTTTCTTCCCTTCTCTTCTCCCGAGTGGCTGTATCTGGATCCTCTGCTCTTTTCAATCTTGTTTCCAAAGTGTTAAAACGAACCACCACAGACGGTCTCGAGCACGCATCCAGAGTGTCTCCAGCAGTGCAGGATCACTGGGTTCCCATCGTCACATCTTACTGCCTCTGTTTTTCCTCTTGTACCAAAGGAGTGGCTGCTAAGAAGACCTGGGCTCTAGTCCTTATGCGGCCACTGACTCATCATGTGACGGGGCATGCCACAGCTGCCTCTGGGGCTCCATGTCCTGCCCTGAGGGGCTGTGTAGGAGGATGGTTAAGGGCACAGACACCGGAGCCAGATGGCTGAGGCGAAATCCTAGCCAGACAAGTTCCTTAAACGCTCCACGGCTCCATTTCTCATCTATAAAATGAGGCTAAGAGGAGTGATTTCCTCTTATCATTAAATGAGTTAAGATGTAAGTAACATTTTTATGCCCATCAGTGGAGGAATGGATCAACAAACTGTGGTACATACACACGATGGAATGTTACTAATGTTAAAGAACAGAGATGAATCTGCAAAATATCTCATAACACGGGTGAACCTAGAGGACGTGATGCTGAGTGAGATCAGTCAATCACAAAATGACACATACTGAATGAGACCTTTATTGTAAAAAGTCAAGGAAAGAGTTCCACAGAAAAAGAAATCTTCTTTGATGGTTACCAGGGCTGGGTGGGGAGAGGAGGGTAAATCACTGACGGAGGAGAGACACAGACTAACTTGGGTGGAGGGAGAAGGGAAGAACACAGCCGTACTCTGGCCTGCGTGGGGTCACCATGAGCAAAAATAAAGAATTAACTCGCAGCAGAGACACTCTGATTGGCCCTGCTTGGATAAAAGCAAAAAACCAAACACACTGCCGTTGAATCGGCCCCAACTCAAGGGACCCCCTCCTTGGGTGTCCGAGGCAGTATCACTAGGGAAGTAGATTGCTCAACCTTCCTTCCAAGGAGTGGCTGGTGGGTTTGAACCGCCAGCCTTCTGGTTAGCAATCAAATGCCTTAGGCACTACGCCACCAGAGCTCTTGTGGAAGTAGAATGGGACCTCCTAATCCCTCAGCCACAGCCAGATACACAGGCACACGTAGAACCACCAGTATCAGTAGCTACCCCGCGAGGTGAGGTGGGAGCATGTCTCAGAAGAAGGAGGTTGTAACTGCCCTGATGCCCCTAGTGGGGTGTATTAGCTAAGATACAACTTTGGCTGCCATACGAGACCCTAAGTAATAAAGTCTTCAAATCATAAAAATAAAGGCTTAGACAAGGTGGAAGTTTATTTTTTAGAATGGTTCCTGGCACAGTGCTCAGTAAGTCCTAGCTCATCTCACTTCCCCTCAAATACGAAAAGAGAAGGTGGTGCTAGACCAACACCTCCCCAGGGTCTTCTGCAAGGCACTTTCCTACAGCAAGAAAGGAAACAAAGTTCTACAGGAGCAAAGACACTTGTGAAGCTCTATCTTACCTAATTCTGGTATTTCCTAAACTTGACCCCAGAATCCCTTTTTCAGAGTACCTCTTAAGACCACAGCCTGTGGTCTTCCCATAGAACACTTTGACAAATGCCGTCAACGCCTCCTGCTTGGGCCTGTGTGGGCAAACGTGGGTTTGCGGAGCACTTACTGTGAGTCGCCTTGTGTGGATGGCTTCACAGATGTTTTCTCCCAGCAACTCTAGGAGGACAGAGGCCCTCATTGGCAGATCTATCTCACCCCAAATCCTAGAGTCAATTCATTATTCTTTTGCTGTCCCCTGTGATCCTAAACTCAGAGTAAGGGAAGTGAAGAGGGCTAGAACATGTGTAGCCCACGGTTTGGGGCTGTCCTCTGTAAAGATAAGGTTGGCACTCTCAGACTCTGGTTTCCAGGGGGCCATAGAACATCCCTGAGCACCAGGCAGAAAGACGTTGTTCTAAGTGACAAAATGACAGTTAATCTGCCCATCCACTGGCTCAGGCTACTCTGCCTGAACGTCCTCTCTCTAAGAATTGTTGGCCCTGCAGACTTCATGAGACCCCACAGCTTCTCCCCTGATCCTCTCCCCTTGAACACAAACTGCTTAAGGTGAGAAGCTGCTTCTTGGCAGGTCTTGGGCAAACCCTTGCCCTCTTAGGACTCATTTTCTTGTTGGGAAGTAAGATAAGGGTGTAGAGGAGGCCAGAGTTGGACCAGGTGGTTTTTTTCAAACTTAACTTTCAGCAGCTTCGATGCCTCACCTGTCTTCACCCAGAACCCTGTGTTGTGTGTTTTATATAATAATTACAAGTAAAATTTTATTTGAACAAAGCTGAAGCAGGGCCAGCTCACTTAAGCTGTGCTGCTGATCCACTCACTGTGGGACTATCTGGCCTCTGCTGGCCCTGATGACCTCTAAAGGCCCTTCAGGCACTTAAGTCCAGTAGCCGCACGTTCCCGGGCTCCCAGAGGAGGCTGCTGGAAAGCATTAGGGACCCCACCTTCCACTGCCCTGAGCCCGCTGTGATGCAGAGCCCCTTCTCTTTCAGATGCATTTCATCTTCTCAGATAAGGTGGTGCTTCTGTTTGATTTCTGGAGTGTCCACAGTCCTGCAGGTAAGAATGGGGAAGCCCAGACCTGGCCTGGTAGCTCCCAGCTGTGGAGAGCCCACGTTCTCCTTGTCATACAAGGGAGCAGACTCCTCTTGCCTAAACACTGAGCAGCAGCTTTGGGTTAAAAATTCCATTTTCAACCACTAACCTTCAGAAGGCAGAAGGCTCTCAGGTCCGTTACCTGGCTGCGGTCAGAGACTCGTCCGAGATCACACAGTGAGTAATTATCAGAGCCAGAACTCATCTAGACCTCCTGGTGCATGCTGACACCTCCCTCACCCACAGTTCCTTGGCCAGCTCAGACGCCTAGGGCAGCTGCTGCGAGCTTGGAGCTCAAATGAAACACCTTTGACTTGGAAAGGTGGAGTTGGACACTAAACCATGAAGAAGTTATTTTTCTTCTTAAAAGTATTCTGTAAGCAGCTCAAATGCCCATGATCGTGGATGCTGATCAAATAAATTACAGTCAAATCATTCTGGTTATAGTTGAGTAAGAAATCACCTCAAACCTAGTGGCTGAAAACAGTAACAGTCATTGTATTATTCTCTTTCAAGGTTCTGTGAGTTGACTGGGCTCAGCTAAGTGGTCCTTGCCGCGAGGTCTCTCGTGTGTATGTAGCCAGACAGTGGCTGGAGCTGGAGTCACCTCGAAGGCCCCATCTCTCGTGTGGTAGTTGATGCTAGTTGGCAGCTAGGACCTCATCTGGGGTTGTTGGCCTGTCCTGTGGCCTGGGCTTGCACATGGCCATGACTGGGTTCAGGAGCAGGTGGCCCGAGGGAACGAGGTAGAAGTACATGGCATTTTTAAGACCCAGCCTTGGATGTCACATTATCATTCCTTCCACCCTTACTGGTTGAAGCAGTCACAAATGTCTGCCCAGGTTAAAGGAATGGGCAAAACACTCGATGGCAGGCGTGTTGACATAACATTGTGAGAAGACCATGTGGGGTAGGGTATATTGTGGTGGCCATCTTTGGAAAATATAATCTATCACAGATACTATGAAGCCAGTGGAAAAATAAGGTAGATTGGTGTGTGCTAAGGGGGACCCGTGTACAAGGTGCAGTTGGGTGATGGAGTCAGGCTATGGAAGAATATGCACAGATAGGATGCTGCTGTTCAGACAGAAGTTTCTACACTATCCTTGGAAGGCTACACAATAAACTGCTAACATAACTTTCTCTGGGGAGGGGACTGGGGCTCTGGGAGACTATGGGTGGGAGGGAGACTTTTCACTGTATACTCTTTTGCACTATCTTTTTTCTTTTACCATGTATGCTCAATTACTTACAATTTTATATTTTAAAAACTTGCAAATTTCCCCTTGGAAGCTCAACAAGACACTACGGCCACACCATTTACTGCTCCCTGTCCTTCTAAAAGAAATGTAGCAATTAGCACTTCATTTCACACAGCAGCTCTTGTAAGCACCTAATGTTTCCTGTAAGATACCTTATTCGATTTTTCCTATTGTGAAAGTAATAGATGCTCACTGTAGAACCTGTAGAAAATGTGATGAGAAGTGAACAGGTACCTTTTCTCCCTTGCTGAGATAACTATTACTCCTTTGCCATGGATTCATTCTTCAGTCCTTTGGGTTTTGTGTACATACGTGGAAAAAGGACTCTGCTATACATCCAGGAGGAGCTCTGGTAGCATAGTGGCTAAGACACTTGCCTGCTCACCAGAAGGCTGGCGGTTCAAACCCACCAGCCACTCCTCGGAAGGAAGGTTGGGCAATCCTACTTCCGTAGTGATACTGCCTCGGAAACCCAAGGAGGGGTCGCTATGAGTCAGGGCTGACTCGAAGGCACATAACAACAACAACAACATACATCCAGGACTCACTGCTGCTGTCACGTCAGTTCCAACGCATAGTGACCCCCATGGGTTTCCGAGGCGTTACATCTTTACGGAAGTAGAGTGCCCAGTCTTGCTTCTCTGGAGTGGCTGGGGTTTAGCAGTCAGATGCCTTAGACACTGACCACTAGGAAGTGTGTAGACCATGGGGGGGAGGGGGAGGCGGTGATGTATGGCTTCCGCTTCACCCTCAGCCCCTGGCTTTTCCAGGCAGCTTCTCTCCCTAGATCTCCAAGCCACACCCAGCAGGCCACCCCCGCCAAAAAAGGCCTGGAGGGGAAAAAAGACATTGAAGTTCCAAGCTGAACAAGGGTGGGGAAGAAAATGCCAGGGAGGCAGATGGAGTGGCTGCAGAGAGGATGGGTGGTGGTCCCTCTGCCACCGGCCCCAGGGGAGGCTACCAGAGGGAAGCAGTGTCCCAGAAGGTCCCTGCCACTCGGCCTCCTCTGGCAGGCATGGTCCTTTCAGTGGTGGTGGTCCTGCTCCTGGCTGTGTTGTATGAAGGCATCAAGGTTGCTAAAGTCAAGCTGCTCCACCAGGCTCTGAAGAGCCTGCCACCTCCCGCCGACCAGCAGCTCATTGCGGAGACAGATGGGGAATCGACATGTTCCGATTCACCCCCGGTCAGCAGAACCCGCCTCAGGTACCAGACACTGGGGGTGGGGAATGGGCACTGGGTCCTCACGTTCCCCTCAAAAAGTAGATGGTCCCAGACAGCATTGTCAGCGCGACTTCACAGAAAGGAAATTGAGGCCCAGGGAAGGACCAGGATTTGCCAAAGTGCTTACAGTTGGTAAGTAGCAAGGTGAACTAGAACTCGGGTCTCCTGAGGCCAGTCCAGAGCTCTCAGTTCCGTGAACAGACACTTGGCAGGCTCAGCATTGCTTTAGGAGGCTCTGATCTGTACAGTTCTTCTGGTGCAGGCCTCTCTAGCAACAGGTGGCCACCTACTCCCCCCAAATCTCACTAGGCTTCCTTAGGTCACTAGGGCTCCCAAGCCCAGGGGGGATCTGTAGCTGCCCTAAGCAAATGACAAGAATTGCTGTCAACAATATATCCAATTTGGGGTAGGGGGTGCACCCTCTCCCGTCTTCCCTTTCCACTTTGATAGGCTGGCTGTTTAGGGTCCCCCTACTACCCTCTCGAGTTCCAGCCTCATCCATCCTTACTGAGCTGCGTCCTTCATTACCAGCCGTCTTACATGGGTAATCTCAAATTTTCACAGCTACCCTGAAGGGAGGGATTCCTACTCCTATTTTACTGATGAGGAAACCTAAGTTCAGAGAGGTTCAGACACTTACTTTTGGCTACAGTTAGTAAGTGGCAGAACTAGGAACTGAAATGTCACCACAGTGCATGCTCTTTGTGTTGTCATTGCCTCCCACACTGTGGTTGCTGGGTGCCTTGAACTGGTTCTCATGGCAACCCTGGGTACAACAGAACACAGCACTGCCTGGTCCTGCCCCCTGTTGCAGACACTGTGTCAGTCCGTCTTGTTGAGGGTCTTTCTCTCTTGCTGATCCTCTGCTTCACCAAGCTTGATGTCATCTCCCAGGCCTGGTAACATAAACACGCCCTAAGTACATGAGATGAAGTCTCACCATCCTCCCTTCTAAGGAGAATTCTGGCTGTACTTCTTCCAAGACAGATTTGTCTGTTCTTCTGGCGTCCATGGTGTTTCCAATAGTCTCCGTCAGCACCATGATTCAGATCAATGGAAGTCTGCCTACTAATAATTCTTTGTTGTCCCTTATCAGTCAAGTTAGATTACATAGCCCATCATTTTTCTTTTTGCTTAGGATGCTAGGAAGCTCAGACCTAATGTGATAAAAGTGATTATGTCAGGTTCCTCATACAAGTTCCTCTCCTTTCCCTATCAGTGGCTTCTGATTCCGTCTCTCTAAAGAGAAAGCGATGCTCAGTCAAGCACATAGACTATAAACAAACTGCTCCTGTAACTCACCTGCCCTTTCTGGGCTCTGATATTGACTCCCAGCCTCCAGCTCATCACCAGCATTAACTTGGTTCTCCTGTTTCTTCAGGTGGTTTCTGTGTCACTTTGGCCAGTCTCTAATCCACGTCGCTCAGGTGGTCATCGGCTACTTCATGATGCTGGCTGTCATGTCCTACAACACGTGGATTTTCCTTGGCGTGGTCCTGGGCTCCGCTGTGGGCTACTATGTAGCCTACCCACTTCTCAGCACGGTTTAGGCGGCAGGGGGTGTGCAGGCATTGAAGGCTGGAGGGGGCTGGGGCTCCTTTGCCCCAGACACTGGAATTCCAGCCCCTGGTCTGCTTTTGTTTTTCTGACAGCCGTTCCTCACCTTGCTCCCCAGCTCTGGAAGCTTTCAGCTGAAGTCAGCTCTTGCTCCCTGGAGTTCAGAGGCTACCTCCCTCCTCAGCCAGCCTGCATAGGGCCCAGGCCTGGTCTCTTTGTGCCTTAAGGAGGCTGTCATGACCAAAGGGAGAAAGGCAGAACATGGTGCAGGATCACTGAGCCTCGAAACTTTTTAAGAATTTCCAAAGATCCTCAAGATGGTGATGTGGGTTCTGTGTGATGAAGGGCAGGGAACCCAGAAACTCTCTGCTCTCTTGATTTGTGCCTTATCTTAAAGGAGCATATTCCATGGCACTTCCTGACCTGTCTTTGAGGACAGAGACTAAGCTGGCTCCTTTTTCTCACCTTTCTGCCTTTAGAATACATGAAGACTGTCTCTTCTATGAATCATGTTCACATGCTAAGATTTTTTTTTAGCTTCTGGTTGACAATTTTTGCACAAGATAAAATCTCGAATGAAATTATTTTATTTATGATGGATGGCAGCATCTGCTAAGACCCGTTTCCCTTTCTTGGTGGGGAGAGTGAGAGAAAGCAGATTCAAGGCACACAGCAGGGTCCGTTATCAAGGCTCCTGGCTTACTCTGGGTAGATGGAGGTCCTCCCAGCAGACTGCACTGTCTACAGGAGGAAGAGTCTAATGGCCCTAGATGTCTGGGAAGCTCTTCACGTCCTTGGTGCACTGAACCCTATTCAGTATTTAGTCATGTCGTCTATTTATTACTTACGCTCACTCACAGTGATCTGGTGGGAAGCATGATTCATTCACTCAATACTGATTCATTCATTCACTTAATGCTGATTAAGCCACAGGGAGTACTGACTGAAGATGCAATAAGTGGTCAAACCAAAGCTGTTAATGTTTTTATAATGAGATGGAACTCTCCTGACATCTGAACCTGTTCACCTTACAGAGAAGGAACTGGAGATCCAAGGAGAGAAGAGCACTTGTCTAGGGTCACACTCCTGTATACTATAAAATCTGCACTCAGGTAGCTCACAGGCTAGGTGAAAAGATGGTCCTAAGCTTTGGGAATTAAAATACATTTTAATAAATATTTTTAAACAATCTGTGACTATTCTTATTCCAGCAGCAAACACATGTCACCCTTACAGCTGCACTTGAGTGGGGTGAATGGAGGTGGTAAAAGGGTCTATGGAGGTGTCTGTGGAGAGTCTGCTATGAAGGCCAGAGATGACAGCTCTGGAAAACCCAGCCCTGAAACACCGTGCCCACCACTGGACCGCCCAGAACACCAGCTGAGTTGACATTCGTTCTGTTGCTGATGTGACAGATATGAGTTGGGTACCCCCTATGAGAAAAGTAACTGTCACAGGGATTGTAAACAGTGTGTTGGCACACTGAGGGTACAAGCAGGGGAAGAAAAATCCAAGTCACTTTTTAATTTACAATAAGAAATAACTGTCACAGAAAGTAGAGTATGTGACACATTTGGGATTGACCGGTGCATTCTCATGTATGCAGACTTGCAAGGGAACTGGAAAGGGGCCCAGCATCACAACACATGTCAGATTTCACATGTGTAGCGTAGTCCTGTGGTGGAGCTTCATGCATCTGTGGTTTATGTCCTGACCTGCAAAGGCGTCCTGCCTGGGGCACGGCTGAAGTGGGCATCTCTGATCAGCAGCTTCTTCAGCTTGATACAGTCTCTGCTTTAAATGTGGTGATACATTTGAGGCTATCAGGATACACATGGCTTTCTTATCTGTGCTCTAGAGCGTGACATAGACCCGGGAGGCAATCTGTTGCTCTCATCTCAACATTCCTTAAAGCCCACCAAATCACAGAAGGTGGTATTTTTCCCTATTTACTTTTTTTTTTTTTTTT